AGTCCTACAACTGCAAGGAACTGAGTTCTGCCAACAATCTAAATGAACCTGGAAGCAGATACTTCCCCAGAGGTTCCAGTTAAGAGCTTAGCCCAGCAGCCACTTAGATTTCAGCCCTGTGAGACTCCAGGCAGAGAACCCAGCTGAGCCCACATGGACTTCTGACCCACAGAACTGGGAGACCATAATAAATGAGTGTTGTTTTCAGCCATTACGTTTGTGGTAATTTGTTACACACCGTTAGAAAACTTTTGCAGATATCTTTAAAAACCGGATTATAGTGACCCTCTGAACAGAATTAGTTAGAATTTCCTTTCTGTGTGTCCAATAGGTTATTTTGACATATCTTAGAAAGGAAGGTAATCATGATTTATTTCACTTTCTATTGTGGCAATTCTTACTCTGGCAAAATCTCTCCTAAGGTATTTAGTCTACTTCTACCTACTTTCTACCTATTCTAGAAGACCATATGAACCAAAAAAAAAAAAAAAAAAAAAAAAAAAAAAAAAAAAAAGTAGATTAATGTCAGAGGATGTAAAGAATTACCTGGGCCTTGTCCCTACACCTTACACTCATTTGTCACCATGTCCTAGTCCTTCAGGAGAGATTGGCCACCTCCACCAACTGATGAGAGTAATAAAGCCACCTTTTTTTCATGATAAATAAATATTCATGCCAACAAATCAGTATTTCCCAGCTAAAATGATAATATGACAAAAAGACTTCTTTGCCTTGACACTTGTTTACCTTTGACCAAGAAAGACTGACACTTGATTACACACAGGACTAACATTCTCTGCCCTCCAATTGCCCACCCATTCATCTTTTGTATGTTGCTTCCAAATATTACCTCTTTAAAATGCAGAAATAATAAAAGGAAATAATCTCTCAGATAATTACATCCACTATATTTGATCTAAGATGTCAGAATAGACAGGGGGGAAAAAGTTCATTAGAGCAGACCAACTCCTATAAAAAAAATCCCAAAATCTTGGTAACAACCTCAGCTGTCTTTGCCAACAATTTGTTTAACACAGGTTCACTGCAGGAACTTCACAAGCCAAATAGAATACAGGATAATATCTCTCAATGAGTCAATGAAGAAATAGCATACTCCAAATCAATGACAGATTAATCACACTATTGTTCTAGGCAAGGGGACATGAGAGGAGTAAAGTCCAAATTTAGTTGAAGTATACCTTTATAGGAGAGATGGCTTAGCCACCCTTGGACTGACATCAGCAGCCAGGTCCCCTGTTACTAGAGGACATTGCTGGGGGACAAGGGTGCCAGTCTTGACGGGCAAGAAGATTTTCAAGGGCTGCTGCAAGGCTTTAGCCACTGCTGGTAAAAGAGTCACCTTTACCGTGGCAGGAGCTACTTGCCCCAAGGTCTTAGGAGAGCTATTTTCAATGAGCCAAGAGTTGCCTTGCCCAAACAGGACACTCTCAGTCCACACAAACTCTCGATATTTATAGTCAAAATGCCGCATATCATTGTTGCTTCTTCATATGCTATTGTTCATAAGCCCCTAGTGAGGCCCCTCAGCAGCTGAACTACTGAGCTCTTTACAGTGAGAACAGATGAGATGATGACGTTCTGACGTCATTTACTCCATCTTGTATCAAAACAAATTTACCTCTAAAACAACCTCTTTTTTTCTCCTTATCATAAACAAGTGGATTAAAACAACTTTCTTAAGTTATAAACAGTGAATTTGAAATCACACATGACAGGTACCAAGGTTACATTGTAGAGGAGTATGTGCAGTGGGAGATAGTATGGTGTCCAGTTTTGGAAAATACAATCTCCCACAAAGTCTATCTTAGAATCACTGAATTTCAGTGTTTCAAAGGACTTTGTAACTTAAAAAATGGCAGCCAGCAAACCATGGTCCTTTGCCTGTTTTATTGAAATATAGCTAGCCATACTAGGGTTGCTTTTCCAAGAGAAACCATATGACCTGAAAAGCCCAAAGTATTTATTTTGACTTTTACAGATGAAGTTTGCTGACTATAGATAGAATATTGATGAAATATATGGACACTGGAGTTAGACTGCTAGCATTCAAATCTCCATTCTGCAGGATGGCCGGTTACATGGCTTTCGGCAAGTTACTCAGCCTCTAAACTACAACTCTCACAGCTATCTAATGGGGGGAAATAGTAAAATCTGTCATTGAGTTGTGAAGATTAAATAAAAAAGGGCACAATACACACTCATAAATGCTAACTCTTATTATTAGGATTATCTTAAAATATCAGCTAGGTCAACTGTCCACCCAAAGTTACATATTTGTCTCCAAAGTGTCTTCTACTACAGATTTCAACACATCTAGTGAGGCAGGAAGCTCATTTAATCATTCTGTTAGAAACTTCTTCCTTCCACTGCATTGAAATCTGCCTTTTTATAGCTCGATGCTATTAATCTGATCTCCTTGAGGTGCTACAGCACATCTCCTCCAAATACTAGGATCTTCAAATATTTGAGAAGGGTTTCCCTGAATTTTATCTTATCAAGACTACATATCCTCCAGTTCTTTTCATTATTTCTTCTAAAACACAGTTTGTATCTCTTTCTCACTTTGGTAATTCTTTTCAGAAGGAAATACAAAGTATTTACCTAGAAATTAGCATAAGACTTCAGACAGATAGATTCACACCCTTACTCCCCAAACTCTCCATATTATGCTGGTGATGTATGTTTTATGCTACTTAGTCTTTTTCCATTCCATCCAGTTCTGGAAGTGTTGATATTTTTAAATACAAAGACCTTACGTTTGCCTTTTTTATGTGTAATCTAATATAGCTTCAGTCTTTCCACATCTTTCCAGATGTTGGTACTATTGTTTAGAATGTTCACTACCCCTACCAGCATCATATCATCTTTGCATACTTCTTCTGATGTCTTGATTTAAAAGATGAGTAAATATCCCATTACATTAAAATTGATACTATGGATAGTCCTGAACTCATTTAGAGCAACTGAGTATTGTTTTAGTAATTGAATTGCCTTTGCCCTTGGACTTCTATCACCCTAATCACTGTATCTTTACTAGTCTTGCTTGGGGTGTCATTCCTTTTAGTGAAAGAAGTTGGAAGCAAATGTAAGCTAAGACATAAACAGCTTTCTTTCTCTCTTTCAATATTACACTTTAAGACAGGCTGTGTATCTGTATTAGTCAGGGTGCTCCAGAGAAACAGAACCAACAGCATATGGATATATTAAGAGAGAGAGATTTATTTTACAGAACTGGTTCATGTGATTGAGGAGGCATGGTAAGTCTAAAACCTGCAAGGTAGACTGGCAGACTGAAGATCTAAGGAAGAGCTGCAGTTCAAGTCCACAAGCAGTCAGCTAGCAGAATTCCTTCTTGCTAGGGGGAGGTCAGTCTTGGTTCCATGAGGGTCTTCAATTCCTTGGATAAGCTACATTACAGAAGATATAATGCTTTACTCAAAGTCCAATTTAAATGTTAATCTCATCCCCCCCCAAAAAAAAACAAAAAAACAACAATAACAACAAAAAAACACCTCCATAGAAACATCCAGAATAATGTTTGACCAAATATCTGGGCACTGTGGTGCAACCAAGTGACATATTAAATTAACCATTATAGTATCTCAGTCTTTTTAATCTTTTTCTTGAAATGAAAATAGCTAAAAGTCTAGCATATTTTAAGCCTGTATTTTTATTGTCATAATTTGTACTTTAATAGTTAAGTACACTGTTACATGAAACTGTGATTAAGTGTGTGACTAAGTGAATATTCATGATAAAACATAACCCATTAAATTTTGTTACCACATGTAAGTACAATATTTTAACATATACCTTGAGTTTAATACTTCCTGAGTCCACATCAATAACCAATTGTTTTTTGTACCTAAGAAAAGATCCAGGGTAGGAGAAAATAGAATGCAACAATGATTTTTAAGATGAGCTTTCCTGGAAGTTTCAAAATGTGGATGTCACTTAAAGTATGGATATGTCTGCATTCTTTAATTCATTCACCTGTTTTTAAAATTCCATTTTTTTATGTTTTAAAATTTTGAAATGGCATTTAAATTCCAATGCTATTTCTTCAAATGATTTCACAAGATTGTCAAAACAAATAGCTATATAAATGAGAAGATGTCTAAGCATTAAATGTCAGCGCACACAATGTTTGTGAACAAATTCTACTAGAATAGAAAAATGCCAAAATGCTATCTATGGAAATTAGACTTTACTAAACTCATATTTTGGTTCTAAACTTTTACGAATCTAGGTTTTGAAAAATGTGAGGTCTTTTTCTTGGTTAACTAGTTATGATAAATAGAAATTATTAATTTAGAGATTTTGAGCAATTATAAGACTGTTTATGAATTCTACTAAGAATTC